TTATGACTCTCTTACCCGTCCCTTTGCTTGATCCACCGAGTCTCTCGCCGTTGCCAAATCTTCCTCTGCTTCTGCACGCAGCTTCTCGATCTCATTGCTGACTTCCTGAATTCTAGTCAATGACAACTCCTCTAAGCTGACTAAAATTCCACTCACCTTGTACCTATCAATTCGTTTGGCTACAACTTTACTCATCCGCTCTGCTTCAGTGGTGTCTTTCTTAGCGCTGTCATAGATAGTGGCTCTAAAGATTTTTGTTCAGTAAGATACCAATTGAGCACAATAAGTCTTACCTAAAGTCTTCAAGCCATTGATCAAATTCTTCAGATCTATTGAGTAAATTCTCAAAGGATGTATCATTCAGTTTGTTTGCCAGCACCCTCTTCAGAAGTTCTTCAGTTTTTCTAAAAACAGATAGATGATCTAACTGGACAATCAAGGCCATAACTAAAAAATACTTGTGCTCCTGCTCAGCTCGATTATGTCGTTTTTCGATGTATTCGCCACGATCCAGAGTAGCATTATAGTGGGCCTCTGCTTCGAGGGCCCAAGCATCAAGAGTTGCTCCTCCCACTGATGTTCCACCGTACTGAAAGGGAAATTAGGAGCCGCAATTGTATTCTATAGAAGACTTTTGCAAAAAAAAGATACTTTGTTTGAGAATGTTCTTGAATTTTTCAATTCCATATTCTGAGAATAAGTCTGGTAACAATGCAGGACAATCACATCAACTTACCGTATGAAAATGTTTCAGGAACTGAGTTGTGTTGAATACGGTAGCGTAGGTTAATTGCGATTCACCAATGATATCTTCGGCTAGCTTAGTGAACTGCTCCAAGGATATGGCACTTTTGTTCATACGTTCCATTTGGAAACGAGCCTAAGTAAAAGATCGTTGGTGGATTACAGTGTATTGACCTAGGATGACCTATGACGCCGTGAAAAAACAGTGCGATTAGTCGAACAGATACGGCTTACCCCTTCGACAACAGCAAAAGCTTCTTTGGTATACTTGCTATCCTTGACGATACCACCCATATCACCATCACCTCCATCGCCCAAACTTCGCATGAATTCGGAAATCACTAGGAGACAGAAATAAAATAAGAAAGAATTTTTGTGAATCTCTTCTCTGTGAAAGTTCCTTATTTGCCGCATATAATGGTACTCAGTGCAAAATGTTTAAGGTCAAGGTTGAAAAGAATAAATTTGAAACCTTGCCCAATGCCATAGCAATTCCTGCCAAAGGGGTCTTTAGCTAGATTCATCTTATGCCCTTTTTATCAACTTACATTTCAAGTAATGCATAATCTGTTTTGCTACTTTACTTTCTTGTAGCTCGAAACACAGATTTTAGACTTGACAAAATTACTCACATTCTGTGTTGTTT